GCTTGCCATGTCGTGCTTGACGACAGCGGATCTCACCTCACGAGGGCCCGGGGGTCGGTGTTCGAGCAGTCGCAGAGCATCGAGCTCAGGGTGCCGGGCTCCCTGCGCATGAGGAGCATGGGCGCGCCGCTGGTCGACGATATCTCTTGGACGTGCACGACGTGGGACACCTTGCCCCGCACGTCGCTCAGGGCCGCCACCTCCCGCTCCATCTGTCGGCGTCCGGACGGCGTGTCCTGGAACGTTTTCGAGCGTTTTTCGGCATGGAACAGAGGTGGTAGTGGGACGGGTTTCACGAACGCACATACGGAGTAAGATACAAAGGGCCGTGAAAATGTGAGGCAGGCAGATGAGAGGGCAGGTGAATTGTCCTAGGTGCCGGGCGACGGGCATGCTGTGGGAAAGCATGAAACTTGTGTTAAGGGACGACTTCTGTGTTGAACTACACGTGTCATATTGTTTTGTACGACGGTCGAAAACGTGACCGCGCAAATACCACGGTATGCGTTTGGCGGCAATGCCGAATGGAGGTAATTGTTTTGGTAGTAGGCGGTAGTGCGTTTTACGGCGGTAACGACTTGGGCGGAGGCGGTAAAATGAAAAATGGACGGGGCTCAACCGGCCTTTCCTCCTGGGGTACCTGCCTCAAGCTTCAAAAACTGCTCGGGGAAAACAAACTAGTGTTGCCTCATGGCACAAAGCAACATTCGTACGCACGTGTGACCCTGAATCAAGTACAAACAACATCAATTTTGTTGACAACGCACACAGCTTACAAAGGAGATTGCCCCAGCAGGTTAGATACTTCCACGAAACGGGTGATGTACTTTGTTCACTGTGTCAGCCACAACAAGCGGCATGCCATGGGTAACCCTTACTTTGGATTTCTTGAATGCGAAAGACTCCTTGGTGGTCTTGTCCTTCATGAACACCACGTCACCAAAACCGCCATCCTGGTGGAGGGGGGGTGGGCAGGGAAGGCAAGGAAGGAGGAACACGAAGGAAACGCACAGAGAAACAAGCCGAGAACTCCTGTGCTTAGTAAAACTCACCGCGGGAAACATCTATGTACACATGTCACGCGAGAAATATTACAAACACAGGTCATAAGAGTACTGGAGTATACAATCCTTGGCGAACTTCCCCTAGACTTTTCATGCTCTACGGATAGAGATGAACTCGAGCTGTTTCTACAGGAAAAAACCAAAACACCCACCGAGTTGACCCCGTCCAGGATGCAGAGATCCATGTTGAGGCCGTCGGCGGTGAGGTACACGCGAGGCGACGGGAACCGGGGAGGGGGGGTGTCGACCACACCCGGCGAGCGCGGTACCACCTGCGGCAACTGCGGCAGCAGGCCAACAGAACGGCGGACGGGGGAGAGGCAAAGGAGAAGCTTGTTTACGCCAAGCGACGAATACACCAGTCTGCTTCTTGTTCGACGACGAAAGGAAAAACAAGGCGACCATTGCCTGTCAAAACGAACCGTGAGCCATCCGTTCTCCGTCTACACCTCTTAGATTCGCTAGCGTGTTCGCGTGCATCTACGTTTTGGGTGCACCCTTTCTCGGCAAATGTGTTAAATAGTCGAACCAGCCGGGGCCACGAAGGTTTGGAGTTTTGTTTTTTTCTTCATCACATCTCCCCACCCTGGGAGCGGGTGGTGTTTCACAACAAACAGCGCCTTCACTCGGCGCTACCCCGGAGGAGTAATGACAGCACCCCGCATTCAAGCGGGCTTGAGTTTTTCTGTACGCTTGCAGCATCAACTCTACACTTGCTGGTAGGGTAACATACAAAGGGAGTCAACTTGTAACGTCACATGCATACCAGCGGAGAGTCTGCGTTTACGCTCTCAAAGATAACGCCGCTGTCCTTCTCGTTGTAGCCGCTCCCGAAGAACACGGCCCGGGTCGACCCGTGGAAAGAATCCGCGGGAGACGACATCGCGGATGCGGGGGTGAGCGGCGGCGTGGGCGGCGCGACGCTGGCTGCGGCGGCCAGAATCTTCTGCACAACCGACGACACCTGGTGCAATAGACGGGGGGACGCGTGTTGAGTGTATCGATGCGAGCATATCTTACAAGCAGAAAGTCAATAACACTTCTTTCACACAGAAAGAACGTGCCGATGGGTGGACATGACTAAAGTCACGGCGTTCTGCAGGAAGGCGAGCTAGAACGTGTGTGTCACCGATCTACATTTGGCAGCGGTGTGGCGAAGGTGGTGAGGGAATGTTTTCGCGTTGTCAAGGACCAAAACACAAATACAACATAAGAGCTTGCAGGCACGCGGGGAAATACGGCGGAAAAACAAAAGGACACGCTCGCCTGAAGTGGCCACAGTTCGCCTTGGAAGGGAAAAAAAGCTATTACAATAGACACCAGCAACGACCAGACCCTACCTCTTCCGTCATAACGTCGATCTTGCCGAGGTAGTCCTCGTCGATGTCAAGCTCCTCGCACCGGTGCCGCTGTCTCTTCTTGCTCTCTGCCGGCGACGCCTCCTCCTGTTCCTCCTCCGTGCTGTCGGACGGGCCACTGGAAGGCGTCAGCGCCGCGTCAAGCCCGCTCACCCGCATCACCTGAAGCGCCGGGCGGCCTCCGATCCCCATCAGCGCTTCGGCGATGGACTGATCGATGGACTGGTTGCCGTAGATGGCGCCGGTCTTCATCTTACCGTCGTCGTTATCCTTGCGGCTGGCTGATGCGGCGGTCCCCGTCTTCTCGTCGGCGTCGTCCAGGAGATCCATGTTCTGTGATTGTGTTGCAAAGGCGGCGGTGGTTGTGGAAGCGAGGGGGGGGGAGGGGGGGGTTCGTCGGACGCTTACGAGCATGAATCCTCATGTGTTCGGCACGAGCACATCGTTTCCTTTCTAAAAAATGCCAATTAAAAGCATGCCAAGCGAAGAGCTACGCTAAAAACAAATCAACAAGCTCACGAAAGAACAAATGTATGCACCGGAGTAGCAGGGTCGGTTTCGGGCGGTGGCCAAAACAAAGCAGAAACGAAGTACGAAATACCAAATCATGCACCGGTGTCGAAGTCGGGCGGTGGCGAAAAACAAAAGTAGAAAACAAGAGGCAAACAGTTTATGCACAGGTGTCGAGTTCGAGAGGTGGCAAAACCAAAAGTGTCAAAAGCAATAAGTACACAGTTCATGCACGGGCATCGTGGTGGCGATTTCGAGGTGGCGAAAAGCCAAATGGTGAAGAAAACACAAACATCATGCGACGCACGACGTACCTCGAGCACATAGAAGTCTCGCTTGTCACCGCCATCGTGCGAGGCGCACCCGGAGTACGATGCACACGCACCGTAGGCGGCGGCGGGGACAGCACCTACCGCAGCCGCCGCCGGCCGCGCCGCCGCTGCCGCCGCCCCGTGTTCCGTCGCCGTTCCCGCACCGGTTCCCGAAAACATCGGCGACGCGGAGAGGTGGGGCGAGCAACCGCGACCACGCCCAGCGAACCGAAACGCCGAAGGCACCGGGCCGCTCTCCAGTCTCTCCCTCAGGCTGGCGAGCATCGGACACGAGGACTGCTCCCCGACGGTCGAGGCGGCGGCGCCGTTCTTGTCCGCCCCCTCACGGGAACCAGAAGAAGACGACGACGACAGTGCCGAGCTCCAGGCCGGCAGCGCCCAGTCGGCGGGGGAGATGGCGGGCACGCCTCCACCGCGGGAAAACCTGTCGCCGACCTTGGAGGTGTCGGTGGACGAGGCGTCGACAGTGCACGCTCCGGTCGAGGAAGGGGTGCAGGGGGAGCACACAGCTCCAGTGTCCCCGGTCACCGCCACCCGCGCGACCACCACCGGCCGCGCCGCCGCGGTCGCCGCCCCGTGTTCCGTCGCCGTTCCCGCACCGGTTCCCGAAAACATCGGCGACGCGGAGAGGTGGGGCGGGCAACCGCGACCACGCCCAGCGAACCGAAACGCCGAAGGCACCGGGCCACTCTCCAGTCTCTCTCTCAGGCTGGCGAGCATCGGACACGAGGACTGCTCCCCGACGGTCGAGGCGGCGGCGCCGTTCTTGTCCGCCCCCTCGCGGGAACCAGAAGAAGACGACGACGACAGTGCCGAGCTCCAGGCCGGCAGCGCCCAGTCGGCGGGGGAGATGGCGGGCACGCCACCACCGCGGGAAAACCTGTCGCCGACCTTGGAGGTGTCGGTGGACGAGGCATCGACAGTGCACGCTCCGGTCGAGGAAGGGGTGCAGGGGGAGTACACAGCTCCAGTGTCCCCGGTCACCGCCACCCGCGCGACCACCGCCGGCCGCGCCGCCGCGGTCGCCGCCCCGTGTTCCGTCGCCGTTCCCGCTACGGTTCCCGAAAACGTCGGCGACGTTGAGAGGTGGGGCGGGCAACCGCGACCACGCCCAGCGAACCGAAACGCCGAAGGCACCGGGCCACTCTCCAGTCTCTCTCTCAGGCTGGCGAGCATCGGACACGAGGACTGCTCCCCGACGGTCGAGGCGGCGGCGCCGTTCTTGTCCGCCCCCTCACGGGAACCAGAAGAAGACGACGACGACAGTGCCGAGCTCCAGGCCGGCAGCGCCCAGTCGGCGGGGGAGATGGCGGGCACGCCACCACCGCGGGAAAACCTGTCGCCGACCTTGGAGGTGTCGGTGGACGGGGCGTCGACAGTGCACGCTCCGGTCGAGGAAGGGGTGCAGGGGGAGTACACAGCTCCAGCGTCCCCGGTCACCGCCACCCGCGCGACCACCGCCGGCCGCGCCGCCGCGGTCGCCGCCCCGTGTTCCGTCGCCGTTCCCGCACCGGTTCCCGAAAACGTCGGCGACGTTGAGAGGTGGGGCGGGCAACCGCGACCACGCCCAACGAACCGAAACGCCGAAGGCACCGGGCCACTCTCCAGTCTCTCTCTCAGGCTGGCGAGCATCGGACACGAGGACTGCTCCCCGACGGTCGAGGCGGCGGCGCCGTTCTTGTCCGCCCCCTCGCGGGAACCAGAAGAAGACGACGACGACAGTGCCGAGCTCCAGGCCGGCAGCGCACGGTCGGCGGGGGAGATGGCGGGCACGCCTCCACCGCGGGAAAACCTGTCGCCGACCTTGGAGGTGTCGGTGGACGAGGCGTCGACAGTGCACGCTCCGGTCGAGGAAGGGGTGCAGGGGGAGTACACAGCTCCAGTGTCCCCGGTCACCGCCACCCGCGCGACCACCGCCGGCCGCGCCGCCGCGGTCGCCGCCCCGTGTTCCGTCGCCGTTCCCGCACCGGTTCCCGAAAACGTCGGTGACGTTGAGAGGTCGGGCGGGCAACCGCGACCACGCCCAGCGAACCGAAACGCCGAAGGCACCGGGCCGCTCTCCAGTCTCTCTCTCAGGCTGGCGAGCATCGGACACGAGGACTGCTCCCCGACGGTCGAGGCGGCGGCGCCGTTCTTGTCCGCCCCCTCCC